TTAAAAAATTCATTATAAGCTTATAACGAAGTTGATATTCAGATTCTAGAATTTGTTATATCAAGAGTTCACTGTATTAATATAATTAAAAGTAAATTCTAAATAGTTTATTATGAATTAATCATAAAATTTTTTAAAAAAAATTTTTTTAAAAATTTACAAACTTTTAGCTTCTAATTAATATTAAATTTTATTAAAAGATAAAATTTATTATAATATATTATATATTTATATTAATTAATTTTTAATAATTTATAAAAGTAAATCAGAAGAAAATTTATAGTAAATAAGCGGGCAAATTTGTCTGCAAAATCTCATGATCTAAGAAATAATAAATATTCATAAAAATAAAAGATTTTTTATAGTAAATTTTATATGAATAAATAAAATTTCTTATAACGTCAATTTTTTAAACTTTATTATTATATTAAATATTTAATATTATATAAAACTAATATGATTTGTTTTGTATTTTCATAATGAATTTGCTTATTAAATTTTGATTTTAAAGCATTAAGAATTTTTAATTCTGTATAATTAATCAAAATATTATTAGTTATATTTTTAAAATACTAAACAACTTTCTCTAAACTACTTAAAGTTTCTTTATTAGAAAATACTAATATTTGTTTTTAATTCATTATCCTCTTCTATATCATCTCTTTCAGGTTTTAAAATTACTGCAGCAATAATTTCTTTATTGATTAATAGCTTTATTAGTATTTTATCATCAATATAATAAATCGTTTTGCTGTAATAGAAACTTGTAAATTTAATTTATCAATTATTTCTTATAATCCTATTAATATACTATTAATATTTTGACTCTGATCAGATTCATTTTCTTCAGGATTATTTCAGATAAAATACCTGTTTTTTCCAAAGTATTTAACTGTACTTGATTTTACAATGTTTCATGCTTCACTAACAAATATTATAGTGTCAAGAATATTAACTGCTATTATATTAGAATTGCTTTCTTGAGTTGAATCATATGTTTTCACTCTATTTGAAACCAATAATTTTTTGTATTGAGCCTAAAATTATGTATGAATACACGTTAAAAGAAAATTTTAAATAGTAGAAAAATTCAATAATTGTTTTACCTTAAAGCTGTTAATAATACCATGTAAATGAGCAGTTATATTAGGGAAAAGAAAATGTACATTAATATTTGATAATTGAATAGTTTCGTTTAATAATTATGTAGGCATATTATCTGCCAATAATAATATTTTATGATTTTACCGTTTCATTAATTGATTAAGTTTATATAGATAATCATACTACATTAATACTTGCATTCACGCAATACGATTCAATAATACTAAATAGGTAGATAATCTTTTTAATTCCTTTTAAAACCTGTGGAGTCTGCCATTTATGTATTACTAATGCAGATAATTTATGGCTTCTATCAGCATTACAAGTTCAAATAACTGTACTAGAAATATAATGGTCTGAAAGCATTTTTGATTGTTCTAAATTCCAAAATAAAGCTGATAATATATACATAAAATTAGTTAATAAATTGTAAATTTGCACTCAATTTTAACCTGTTTTTACCCGTTTCATCAATATTATAAACATCACAAAGATCATATTGTTCATGCAGAATTTTGTGCTCTACCGAAGGTTAACTCCAAAATTATGTGGGCAGATACAGCGTTTTGAATCCATATCAAATTTGAAAACACAAAACCAATGGTTTAATGACCATGCTTCGACCGTAGGATTCGCAAGAGAAATTTTTGAATAATTTGCAAGTAACTATTGTCTCATTACTTACCTTTCACGTTATTTTCTGAAAATCTGTAAAAATTCGATAGCACAAGCACTCGTGAAATTCCCGCAAAACGACGCAATCGTCCAAGCACCCGCCGCCTTTTTTCATCACCTGGGATGTAAGGCATTGTGTTAAGAAAATCTAAATGTCGCTTAAAATAAAATTATTTATCCCGTGTTTACTAATGGTCACCCGTGATTTTTCATAGTAAAATGTGAAAATATCAAATGATTTTATGACGTGTTACTAATTATTATTATATTTATTATTTATGCCACAAATATAAAAACTAATGTTAAAGTTTAAAAGTTACATTCGTCAGAAGAAAATTCATCAGATGTAGTATTATTAGTATTCAATTTTGAACTTGGTTGAGCTATTAATGCCATTGAAATTAATTCCTTGAATTTAATAAATCAACATCATGTTTCACAGTTTTTGCTCTAAATTTTCTTTTAGATATTTGTGCAACATTTTTAAGAGGTACAATATAATATATAATTAATTTCTTGCGAAATCCTTCAAATTGTGCAACCCAATCTTGAGTTGACTTTTCAGTATTTCTAATTATAGTTTTGTTCCGATAAAAATTTAAGTTTTTCTTGAATTTTAGAAGTTAGGTAAAGTAGAAATTGAAGCTTCAGAAATTTGTTAGAAAGGTGAAGAGCACTTGCACTAGTAAAAGCATGTTTGAAGTATTTTTATTGTTTTTTATTAACGCGTTGAGGCACTTTTCAATTTGTTTTTAGTCGCGGTTAAAAATTTGGATATAAAAAGAATAAGTGGTAAAAAGCAAGGATTAGTTATTTTCATAGTAAAATATAGTGAATCACGGAGCGTTTGTCTCCAGGGGTAAAAATGTTATTTCACATCCATGGATTGCCGTGAAAAAACTATTACATAAACAATACAAAGAAAATGTATATTCACATCACATTGATTATTTTTCTTAGTAATATCTTTTTAATAATATTATATTGGTATTGATGAATAAATTTTAGCCTGAATTAAAATTGCACTTCGATTAAAATTTCTTGATGATGCCCGTTGAATTTGGAAATATCGAATCATTTCGAAACTATAGTTTTTCTAACTTTATTTTTATGCGGAAATCGAACATTTTTAAAACCATAATACGTAAATATCAGGGCTGATTGAGCTGATTGTAAATAAAACTATATTTTTATTTGGTTTTAATTGATTGATTATAATAAACTTACTCGTTATTTAAAACATTTATTTTTGAAAGCATTATTTTATAATTTTTGTCCAATTTTAGATTATGTCGCATTATATTAATTTAGATTTACCATTATCATTATTTAGTAATAAAAGAAATATTCGCACTAGGTTTTTGAGTTTGATTAGCGTAAAGTTTTTGATTTATTTTCGATTCTGTATCACTAAATACATACATGATTCATAAATCTGCACTCATACTACCAACGCGAAGTTAAATTATTTATGGTCAACTCGATTACACGTGAATAAAAAAATTTATCAAATGTCGTTGTACAAATACATGTTATTTAATAGACGTAATTATATCGTGAAAATTTGAGACAAGGTGATTTCTTAAATCAATAAGAAGATAGGCTGAAGAAAAAAAAATACGTAATCAGTTCCAATCAAAACTTTGAGAAAATTTAGGGTGTCCATAAGACAATAAATTATCCTTATTTTTTTTGCATAAACACTCTTTATTATCTAAGATGACTTCAAAAACTGGTTTGAATAATAGACTATCATACCATTTTCCTGCGTATGAAATTTCAAGATACAGGAATGTGCAACCGGGATAGTAACATTACGATCGTCCGCATTATCATATAGATGAGAAATATCGAGAGATAATTCGGATAAAAATTCAAAAGCCATTGTATTGTAATGAAAATATTCATTTTGTTTTTCATTTAAAGGAAAAAATCTCGTGATGAAATAAATAATCAATATACAAATTGCTTACGTTTTTCCAGCCAAAAATCCCAATATGGCTTTGCTTTTACGCCACTGACGTAATAAAGTAAACTTTCTTAAAATAAATTCACATATTATTAAATCACATGGTTTGTCAAATTTTGGGAAGTCCATGTTCCACGAATCGAAATTTCAATTCTCTTTTTTTTCCCCCATCTCTTTTGTCAAACAATATTTCTTGGCAATTCGTACCATGACTTTAAAATTTCATTGCGGTCTTTTAAAAGATATTTCTTTGATGTTAAATGATGGGGATGATCATAATGTAATTATTCAAGTCGGAGAAAATCAAAATACAATAGAATTTCGTGCACATTCTAATATATTGAAAGCTCGTTCACCTTATTTTAAAAGGGTATTCACATCTGGATTGGTTACAAGGAGTAATAATATGTTTGAAATTAAAAAAACAAACATTAATCCTACAGTTTTTGAAATGATTCTCAAGTATGCGATATCAAATTTAGTTGAACGTTTCTTTAAACTATTATTGTAAACTAAATTTTTGATTCTTTCGGATAATAATTATAGGTACATTTACGCGGGTGAAGTGGATTTAACCGATAAGCTTGGATCAGATATTTTTGAATTGCTAATTGCATCTGATGAATTAATCCTTGAAGAGTTATTTAATGATGTTCAAAATTATTTAATTGAAGAACTTTCAGTTTGGATTCAGAAAAATATTAATGAAGTACTTCCTACAGCGTTTAAACTTACTAGTTGTAAAAGATTACAAGACCATTGCATTGGATTAATTTGCGCCCTCCCGTTACCATTTTTCTCTTCCGACAGCTTTACATCATTGGATGAGAAAATTATTTATTGTCTTCTTAAATGTGATTACCTGCAGATGGATGAAATATTAGTTTGGGAGTTTTTAATTAAATGGGCCATCGAACAAACTCCCGGTTTGGGAAGTAGCCGAGAAAAATGGACGGAAAAAAGTTATAAGGATTTAAAGGTTACGTTGAATAAATTTATCCCTTTAATTCGATTTAGAGATATTAGTTCGAATGATTTCTACCTTAAGGTTCATCCATATGAAGCCATCTTCCCTCCTGAAAATTATGAATCTCTATTGGGATTTTATTTGAATCATTCCTTGTCAGCAATGACTTTACCATCACGAGACAAAATGTGTCAGATTGATTCATTGATTATTGGACCAAACCACGTCGCTGTAATCAATAATTGGATCAAAAGGGAGAAAGGCTTACCATATACACTTTTATATCGTGGTAGCCGTGATGGTATTAAATCAGATGTCTTAAAAAATAGATGTTATCGTCAATCGCCATGCTTAGTTTTAGTCAAGGTCCGTTCTTCACCGAGGATATTTGGCGGATACAGTCCTATCGGGATTTATTTTTGTACTGGTGGTCAATGGCATAGAACATCAGGTAGTTTCATCTTTTCTTTTGAAGACAGTGAAGATGATCAAAACATGAAAGTAAGTCGTGTGACAAATAATAATAGAGCGTTATATGAATTCTATGATTGCGCATTTAACTTTGGTGGTGGAGCTTTATTTATGGATAATGACAAAAATTTACACGTTAATTATAATCTTAATTATCAATGTAATTTGGACGAGTTCGCTTCGAGTTATGTTATTAAGGAAGTTGAAGTTTTCAAATTGGGGGGCTGATACTTTTGGTTATTCGACATCGATGTTTCAGTTCTGAGGATTAATGTTATGTGATGAGACATAATATTTTTTATTAATAATTTTAGAATGTGTAGGGAATTACTGCGCCACACACGTTAATATCCGATGACAACATCTTTGTCGTTTTCTACCAAAGTGAAAGTTCCAAATTTATTAATTGAATATTTATCAAGAATTTAGGAATATAAAATTCGAAGCAAATGATGGAATTGTATCGTGCTATAAGATGTAAAACGTTGCAATCTGAATCAGTTTATAAGGGAAACGTCAAAAAAGGAGTAACGCGATTCGATCAGACCTTTATTTGGTTATATGACGAACATATTTTAATAAAAATAAACAAAAAAAAAAGAGATTTGTAAGAAGACATAAATGACATAAATGTGAGGAAGTATAAATACATATATGACTATGTATGCCACAATGTATTACAAATCACAAATTAAAAAAAACCGCCACCAGTTATTATGCCGATTACCAAGCATGTCCGAGGAATTTATAAAGGGGCGCGAATAAATCAGCCCAGTCTAAGGCCGAAACTTAATAAGTTACCATTTAAGGCAAGTGAATAAAAAAAGTATGGTGTGGCGACATAGTAATTTTACGCGGGAGAGTTCAATTAAGTGTTTTTTCACAATTTTACTAGTAACCAGAAAATCAGATTTGGGTTCAATAAATTCCCTTGGTGTTCTTTCCAACATTGAAGCTTAATTAAGACTAACAGGTTTATTATCTTGAACCAAATTGCTGGATAGGATCTTTATTTGTGGCATTAATTCGAATGTCTTAATGCGATCGTTAATCACCATGCTTAGCTTTTTTGGTCAAAAGTAAGTTTTAAATTTTTTTTTTTTTTGATTTTCTTTTCGAAAATGATCACATTCAAAATACGAAATAAATCGTATATGAGATTTTGCGTTTAATTTTGATGGAGAAATGATATAATTACATATAAATGCCTATTTAGTAAAACTGTAGTTTTTTTTTAAAATAATAATAATAATAATAATAATTGCTATTAAGTAATAAATCTATTTAAAACGTATATAAAACAATATATAAAACAATAAATTAATAATACAAATTTTTTTTTTTATAAAAAAAAAAAAATAGAGGGAAGGAGAATAAAAAAATCAGAAACACAGACAGATAAATAATACAATTATACTCAAACATTTACACTAAAAATTTCCAGCTCTTCTGCCTCAAAGCATTTTTCATCATCATTTAAAAGACAAAATTCATAATCAGATTTATCACAAATTCCATTAACACCATCTAAAATCAAATCTCCATTACCAAAATATAATATTAGGTTAAAATCATCACAATCGTAAATAGAATTTTTACCACCTTCCAGAATCCTGCTGATTTTTCTATTTGACAAGTCTGATGATTCATTATCAAAGGAAAAAATAAAGCTATCGTTAGAATGTATCCAAAAATTACTCGTACTCCAGCCGACAGGATTATATCCCCCAATGATTTTATTTGAATCCTTAATTTTAACAATGGCTACACATGGTCCATTATTATTGCAATGTTCATGAAATCTTTTTGTGTTAAATCCATCTACCGAACCTCTATATAATAAATTAAATTCATACTTATTTGACTTCGATATTAGATCACTATTTTCTAAATCTATCTTGTCAACCCAATTGGAAATGATATTTGCATGCTTTGAGTTAATTATCAAAGAATTTATATACCCTCTTCTTGGAAGTGATGGCATTCCTATTTTTGTGGGTGTTCCAATAAGGTAGTATGACATTAAGTCATCATATATGTCGTTTGGAATAATTAACTTGTAAGGTTTGATCTTTTCATAAAAATCATCGGGATTAATTTCTCTGAACCTTATTCTATAAATCAAGGGATCCAAAGTTTTCTTTAAAGCCTCTCCAAATTGAATAATGTTCCATTTTGATAAGATGATCGTTTTATTAAATTTATGATTAAAATTGTTATGAATTTGAGTGATACCCCATTCGAGTAGGTATTCCCATAAATCTATCTCTTCAATATATAAATTATCTAAATCTAAGATTAAGCTTAAAATATTCTTGCTAAGTCGTAATGAATCCCTTGATGAGAAAAATGACTTTGCTTCCAAACATAAATACTTTACACAATAATTTTGTAATTTTCTACAATTTGCCAATTTAAATATCGTATTTAATACCGTGGAAAAATTCTTTTGGATCCATGGCTTTGCATGATCGACTAAATAAGACTGTGTGTAAGCTGTTGCTTCGAATAAACATAATCTGAATGTCGTGAGCAGAAAGGAAAATATTGTCTCGTCCGCTACATTTGAAAAATCCATTATTCCCGTGTATATATAGCTGTGAAAGAAACAAAATTAAACAAAATATATTAATTAATAAAGTTTTGAATTGTTTCTTTTTCTTTCTAAAAAAAGGTAAACAAAAAAGAAAAAAACTTACATCATGATCATCTCGAAGACGTTCGGATCAATTTCCATCATTTTGAGACATATTGTATTATCCTCATTAAATATCCTTCCTTCCGACAGTAATAGTTTAAAATAATTTGAACGAGCATATAATATAATTGAATGTGCTTTAAATTCTTTTTCCTTGACTTTGATAATAACATCATAATTATATGAATCTTTAAGCAAAGATAAGAAATCGGATGAAAGGTTTGGTAAGATTTCTAACTGCATTGTATATCAATAAAATTTTTTTTTTTAATAAAAAGATAATAATTGCGATTGGGAATATAGAAAATATGGGGGTAAAAAGATTTTTTTTTTTTTTTTTTTTTTTGTATGTACTGCTAAATTAAATTAAAAAAAATATTAATTTATGTAAAATTATTTCATTATTGTATCAGATGGTTCTTTCGTGTAACAAGAATAATCTTTTCGATACTAAGCCAAAATATGGAAGATCCTTTTTTTTTGGTATTTAAACCAAATTTGATTTAACTCTTATGCACAATTCTTAACTTGTAGGTTGGCGTCCCTTTGAATAAAAAGAATTTTTTGATTTGAAGATCAAAAAAAGAAACCTCCTCACCAAACTTGCTGTCGATCACTTCTCGAATTGTATAATTCGATTGTCACAATTATAAACTTTATTTAAGTAATATTCTATATTACATAAAAATACAGTTTTACTTTATAAGTAACTTTTGATCTCTTTTTATTCTTTTATTTATATAAAATTCTCTTAAAAGTTGATGTCAAAATTGATATTAATTGATGTTTAAATGAGTTGTTTTTTTTAATATGAGTTGTTTTATTTTAGAAGTGATCGACACAAAAAAAGATCATGGAATTTGTCCCAATTCAATTCGGCGACCAAACTTGAAATTATTTCATTTTTGATCATCCAACTAGCAAATTTAGTGTTGATTGTCTCAAGTTAGCCATTTACTCCTAGGACTTTTATTTATTTATATGGCATGTTTAAAATATTACCAAGAATTCTAAAAAAAATTCTTAAATTCTGACGCTTGGTTTCCTAATCTGAAGTTTTAATCAGATCTTGCCTGATTTGGAACACAATATCCAAATTAGAGATCTTGGATTACAGGTTTTTGATCAAGTTAATGGTGGTACTACGATACTCCAAATTTTTGAACCCTTTTGAAAAAATGGGGAAAAAATTAGATGTTGGACCATTCCAAACTTGGCAAAATTGATTTTCCCAATTTTAAATTCAAAGTTCATTTAAATCACGTTGCTGGTCATGTGATGTAAGAGCAAATCGTTCCCATTTTAGCACTAATATTATTAGACTTTTTTGGGTGACTATGAGCAAAATCCCTACAAAAAAGTATTCATCTTCAAATCGAATAATCGTTGCATAAGTTTCCTCAATTTACTATATAAATCACGGACCGTTTGTAATATCAAGTATAAAGCAAATTAAAATTTAATCTTCAGTTATCGTTATTTTGTAATTAAATATTTATTCAAATTAATCACTTTTCTGAATATTATAATCATTATTATTTTATTTTAAATTAGTACATAACGATAATATGATAATTTGTAAATTCTCTTACAAAATAGTAAAATCAAAAGATATACCTTCTCAAAGTTCTTTTATAATCTTAAAATAATTGAATAATGGAGGCATTGAATGAATTGATCGTTTTATAAATATTTATGAATTTTTGAAATCAAACAATTGACAAATCATAATTTTGTAGTTTTCGATATAAAATTATATGCAAAAAACAAAATCATTAATTTTATAAATAGATTTTGTTCATTTAACTTTTCATAAATTAATGTATTCATTAGTATCATCCCTTTCTGCTGCTTTTTGATACCAATAAAAAGCCTTTTCAATATTCTTTTCCGTTCCTTTACCATTTTTATATAAAAATGCAAGTTTAATTTGTGCTATAATATTTCCACTTTCAGCTGCTTTTTGATACCAATAAAAGGACTTTCAAAATTTTTTTCTAAATTTGTACTATTTTATATAAAGTTGCAAGATTATTTTGTGCTATAGTATTTCCACTTTCAGCTGCAATACGATACCAATAAAAGGCCTTTACAAAATTATTTCTACTTTCATATAAATTTGCAAGATTATTTTGTGCTATAATATATCCATTTTTAGCTGCTTTTTGATACCAATAAAAAGCATTTTCTGTTCCTTTACCACATTGATATAAAAATGCAAGATTATTTTGTGCATCTATTTGTTCATTTTCAGCTGCTTTTTGATACCAATTAAAGGCATTTTCAAAATTTTTTCTGTTTCTTCACCATTTTCATATAACAATGCAAGATTATATTGTGCATCTATTTGACCAAGTTCAGCAGTTTTTAGATACCAATAAAAGGCTTTTTCTAAATTTTTTTTTATTCCTTTACCATTTTTATATAAAGATGCAAGACTAATTTATGCATTTGTATTATTATTTTCAGCAGCTTTTTGATACCAATAAAATGCCATTTCTAAATTTTTTATGGTTCCTTTACCATTTTCATATAAAAATGCAAGACTATTTTGTGCATCTATATGTTTATTTCTGCTGCTGTTTGATACCAATAAAATGCAATTTCTAAATTTTGGTCTGTTTTTTCTACTTTATAATATAAATTGCCAAGATTATATTGTGCATCAATATTATTATTTTTTGCTGCTTTTTGCAAATTAATTAATGTTTTTTTATAATCCTTTTTTGTTTTAATTTCATTATAATTATTAAATCCATTCCCAAAATAATGTTTAATTTCTTTTGCTTTATTTATATTTTCTATTAAATTAATATTTTTTAAAATATTTTTTTCATTGATGTTTCCATTTTCTGATGCTTTTTTATACCAATTTAAAGCTTGATTTTTATCTAATTCAATTCCTATTCCATTGAAAAAACAATTTCCAAGTTGATATTGAGCATCAGAAAAATTTTCTTCTACCAATTTTTCATAAATTTTAAATGCTTTACTAACATCTTTTTCAACTCCTATTCCTAGTCTAAAGCAATCTGCCAAATAATATTTTGCAGTTATATTTCCATTGCTAGCAGCTGTATAATACCAATAAATGGCTTTCTTTCTATTTTGCTGGATTCCGATGCCATATTCATAGCAATGTCCTAAATAATATTGTCCTAAAATACTTCCATTTTCTACAGACTTTATATACCAATTAAATGACAGATTTTTATTACACTCAATTCCATATCTATTATAATAACATTTAGCAAGATAAACCTGTGAAATCGAATAATTTTCTTTGGCTGCTTTTAAAAATAATTCAAATGCTTCAGTACTATTTTCATTTATACTAATATTATAATAATAAAGTAATTCAAGAAACCATATATATTGTGAATTATGTTGATTTTTTAACCAATCTAAAAGGTCTTCTATTGAATTTAATTGTGATATCTTTTGCTTAATAAAATGGTTAATTTGGTCTAAAGTAATACCTTCATTATGCTTTTTAATTACATATTTAATTAACCTATCAATGGTTATATGATTTATAAATATCGAGTCAACTGAATCTCTTGAAAACTTTCCAACTTGAAAAATCGAACTTAATAATATATCTTTAAATTCCGATATACCTGTTTGAAAAGTTTTTTGACTTTGTAAACTAGTATTGCTTTGTCTAACATCATTATATGAATTAATAGCTTCAGATAATACCAAATTCTCTATATTTTCATCAGTTGATTCAAAACTAGATCTTTCTTCTATTGATAAATTAATTAATGAATTATTTACAATATCTTCAGTTAATCCTAAATCTTCATCTCTTTCTTTAAGGTTAGATTTACCCTTCATCGGTAAATCAATTTTTTTTTCAATAAAATTGGCATCAATAATATCACTTTTTTCAAGAGAAATGATTGCTTTTAGTGTTGAAACAACTTTTTGTATGTTTGGACGATTATCGGCTTCATATTTCCAACATACTAATTGAATGAATAGATAAAGATTAGAATTCTTTTCTAAAAGTAAATTTTATTATCTAGATAATTAATTACCTTGATATAAATTACTATATTCAGGTGGTGTTCCATCAACAATTCTTTCTCTTTTTCCATTTAATATAAGCAGCATTAAATCTGCATCGTAATCAATACCTTTAAATGGTTGATATCCGCTTGAAATTTGCCACATCAAAACTCCAATACTATAGACATCGGATTTTTTATTTAGTATGTAATCCTTATTTTTATCTAAACTTTTTGGATCCACGTAAGGTAATACACCAAATTCTTTAGATGATTCTTCAGCAAATTTTTTTGATACACCAAAATCAGCTAATTTAATTATTTTCTGATGTATAAGTACATTCCCGGCATGCTATAATTTTATTAAATATAAATTATTATTATAAATAAATGAATAAATAAAAAATTGTTATATAAAAAAATTTAATTTTTTACCAGGTCACAGTGAACAATTTCACAATCATGTATAAATTCTATAGCACTTGCTAATTGTAAAGCTAGCTGGTACTTGTCATACCATTCAAGTTCTTCAAAATTTTTATTTAGATAATGGTTTAGTGTACCGCTGTCGGCATATTCCAAGACCAAAGAGTATTTGTTTATTTGATGAATAGCGTTCGCTATTTATAAAAATAAGAAAAATTAACTTTTTATGAAATATTCTGAAATTATAATACGTTATTCCTAATTTTTTGAAAATCAACCCTTTTATGTAATTTTATCTAAAAAAGAATTTAAATTTTAACAATGTATTGAATAAATCTTTTAAATAATTTCATTTGTACCTACCTCATTTACAACTTCTTTCAGAGTGATTGCATCATTATTAAAAGATTTCAAAGCAAAAAAACGATCGGGATTTTTCCAATTAGCACGAACAACTTTTCCAAATGAATCATTTCCTATTGGTTGTAAATCGAAAAATTCCGAATATTCATAATAACTGAGATATTCATCAGTAATTGATTTTTCTAACCAACTAATATCAAAATTAGATATTTCAAGGTTAGTTGACATTTTTTTTTTATATTTTCTTTCACTGCGTCGTTAAAAGAGGAGAATTTATCCAAGTTTGCTAAATTTGTGCAAAAAACTGTGATCAGTCAAGTGGACCAATAAAAAATTTTGATCTATATTATTGGTTCATTAATGTACACGTAAAAATATGTGAAAATTGGCTCACATAAATTAACTATAAATATAATGTCACAAGAAAATTTTCTATTTTTATAAAAAAAGTTTATTGCTGTGTCATGGTTTCGTAATTTTCTTTTCTAGAAAGTTAAAGTTTTAACAGAAATATTCTCAGTTTATTAATTGTAATATTATTTTATTTGCAAAGAGAAATTTATCTAGAACTGTCATATGCGTTTAATTATTATTATTTTTTTTTTTGTTTTAGAAAATAAAATAAATAAAAAAAGAATCGATTCTAACGATATTGCTTCCCAATATGACGAACTGTTACAAATGAGTCATTTAAATAATTTAGTTAAAATTTCAATATATTGTAAATTTTATAATTTGTTTCAATAGAAAAATTTGAAAAAGTTTTTTTTTTTTTTTTTTTAAACAGATAAATATGTAATACGACGTTCATTTAATTTCTTACTGTCATCTACTAAAGTATTTCTTTTTGTTATCTTTCCACATTGTAATATAATGCTATGAATTTCAATTGATCTCACCTAATTACTACGGGAAATATGCGGAATTAATTTTTGATTATTTCTAATTGTGGACTGTCAATTTGAACCCAGATTCATTAAAATAAAATTTGCCAAATTTATTTTATTTGTGACTTTCAATTCTTTCAAAACTTATTTTTTTGCAAGAAAGAGGTTGAAAGAGTTTTCCAAGATTGATGTGTGGTTTGTAAAACTTTAAGTGGCCATAAACTTTAAAAATTACATGAAACATTACGTCATTAAAAGAATATGGTTATGATACCTTAATTTTGTCTGAATTAATTATCCAGTAATATTAAATTTTTAGCCCTAAATTTCTTTTATGTAATGATAAAGTCAATTACAAATAATAGAATTATCATCTAATTCTTTCCATCTAATAATTTTGATTCAGATAGAAAAAATCCCGTGAATAACGACATTTACGAATAATTGCTTTGGTGCTATATGCGTATATTAATTCATGGTTGCTCGTTGCAACTATATATATAGAACTTTGTTGGTAATCTTTTTGTCATCAGATAAGCAATTAATTTTCAAAGATCTTATATCGGCTTTTAATTTACCGAGTCATTTGCAATTCTAAAGTCGCTATTAATAAAAGTAGATGAAGTACATTCTTTCCTTTCGAATTTGATTTATATTCTTGAAATTAATAGGTTGAACGTTGTAAAATTTCTTTCGGATGGGGATTGGTTACTTATTAACCAAATTGTATTTTTCTTCTTAGAAGGGTGGAATTCCTTTACGAGTACATAAGTCTGCAAAGTTAGTGATACATTGGTGGATTACCAATGGATACTTATGATTCGATACTTTCTTAATACTTTTAAAAGTTTGTTTTAAAAATGTTCGAAATAAAATTTTATATTGGTAACATTATTTAAGATTTTTTAATTTTGTACGATTAAGTTATAGATTTTTGTGGAAGTAATGCGAACAAGCACGTGATGCTTTATTTTTTATTAGATTAAAATTGCACATCGATGAACATACATACATGCAAACAAAATAATATAAGGGAAAAAAGCTTGTATTATTTATCTAATCCTTTGACAACTCTTTCTACTTCAAAAACTTCAGATTCAACCGAATCAAAATCCGTAATTTTTACAATTTTCCCGTTAACATCTTTATAGCAAAAATTCATCTGATCATCTAAATGGTTATAAAATATTCTAATCATTTTCATATTTCTAGTATTCTCTTTGTTTTCGAAGCAAAAGATAAAGCAATTATCCTTAAATAATGATAATCCACCATCATTAGACTTATATGGTCTATACCCTCCATAAATTTTCGATGTTTTACTATCTCTGAAAAGCAATAAAATGTCCTTTTGAATATTACAAAGGTCACGAAATAGATCGGACTTGAATCTATAATAACTATGCGAAAGAAGTTTGAACTCGTATTTTTTCCCGTATAAGTAATCTTTTTCGAACTTCTCACCTATATCACCATCATTTTTTTTCAATCCAGTTAATAAATATAGGAACAAATCTTGGCTTGATAATCTTCGATTCCATTTGTATTTTTCCAAATCGTGGTGATAAAATAGTTGACTTTTGAAAAGAATCCTTCATGTAGAATTCCAAAACTCTTTCATAAAGATACTGGGGGAAAATTGGCTTATATTGATGAACTTTTGCAAAAAAATCTGCGGAATTAATACCCGAATATCTAATGAGTGGGATAAATTTATCTAAAGTCTTCTTCAATGCTTCATAATCTGCGTCATCCCATTTAGTTTTATCATCTTTTAAAACAGGAGTTTGTTTAATACCCCACTCAATTAAATTATCCCAGAGGACAATTTCTTCGATCTGCAGGTCATCTCGTTTAAGCAAGACATAAAGAATATCTTTATCCAGCGACAGAAAATCCCTTGATGTAATAAATGGTGAAGGATCTTCGCAGATAATTTCAATACAGTGATCCTGAAGTAGTTTACAATTAGCAATTTTAAAGGCCTTATGAATAACTAGGGCGATATTTCGTTGAATCCAATCCGACTGTTGTTTAATTAAATGAACTTGAACATGATGAATTAATCTCTTGAAATTTAATTCATCGGATACGTCTAAAAGACTAAGAACTTCATATCCAAATAGTTCGGTTAAATCCAACTTGTCGGTATAAATATAACTTAATAAATGAACAAAAGAGAAGACAAACTTAGTTAATTAGATGAATGTTATTTTACAAAGTCATAAATTTCATATTGCATACTTATGGATTAGTTCAAAAGTGGTAGGATTAATGTTTGGTTCCTTGAGTAACAAAAAAAAAGAATTTTTTTCGGCAGTCAAAGTTGGTAGTGCCTTTTCGAAATAAGATGAGCAAGCTCTTAATACGGATGAATGGGCAGCAAACTCTTTTACATCATTATTTTTTCCGACTTGAATGATTACATCATGATTTCCAATATTTTTTAACGTTGATGAAAGCCTGGCATGGATCATTGAAGTCATTCTTTTATCCTTTAACAAAAAGGATGTTGTGTAGTTTACGCTCTTTTGAATATTGCGAAACATTCTGCTGCTTTTTAAAAAAAATGAATCAATGAACAAGTTCTTCAAAAAAAAAATTTGATAATTTGATAATTTATGCTGATCATATATAAAATGACAATCTCGTTACCAAATCGACATTTCTATTTTTAAATATTTATAATGACGTGTTTCATGATTACATGATATGATGCCATGATAAAAAGTGATTACGTCTAAATAATCAAGTGTTACTAACAATTTTCGTTAATGAATAATATCAAAAAACATCTAAAAATACAGAAATTAAGAAAGAAAGTCATTCTATTCAAATAATAAATACCATTTTACTTTTATTTCCACTAGGTTTAATTTATAGTCGAAAATTCTTTACCTTTAAATAAAGTAAAATATGCTATAAAAATTTCTTTTTAGGCGCATTAAAAATTTTAACGAACATCTTAGGGTTAGCCATACAACGAAAATTTCTCCTTTTAAATTTGATAAAATTATTTGAATAATTGTTGTCACAGGAACATAAAATAATTCATTAAATACACAAGATAGCTAGCTGTACGAGGAAAGATTAATATGTGAAGTCATTGAACATCTGATTTTGGTGACTCGAATGACATCACCTTTAAGAGTTCCATGTAACATTTAGATGTTCCTTTATCATGGTTCATCTTGCATATGAAAGTTCCTGCTTTGCACCTCATGAAAAAGACGTTATTACTTTTACAATTGCAGCTGTGATGTCCCTTTTTAGTCCTTAAAAGCTTTCCCTTTTCAAAGCAAAATATATTTGGAATGCATACTTATATTCATACTTATATTGAAAAGAATGAATAGAATGTCTTCATTTTATCCTATGGATAAAAAAAATAAGAACTCACTAACAATTTTTAAAACTTTGATAATCTTGAATTGGTGAGGTTAAAGAGAAATATACTAACCTTTATAATTAGGCTAAAAACAAAAATGTCATCAAAATCTTACAAATCTGTATAATAACTTTTTTTAAAAGTTTGTTCGTCGATTAATAAGTTTGACAAGTGCTTTACGAGGGCACTCAAGTAATGTTATAGGACGAGTATTATTCAAGTTAATAAATTTGGATAATTATTAGTAATTCTCATCAATTATATTAGTGTTACTCTGATATTTTGAAAGAAACATAATAATTAACTAAAAGAAAAGAATGATAGAGAATTCTGAATATGTGATTTTTATTTCAAGAAGCTGTTTACTTCCATAAGAAACATGTCAAGGCTGAAAAAAAGATGAAGATAATAAAAAATAGTACCTGTTATTAAAAATATAAAAATATTATTTTACAACTTAATTAATGATACTTTATAATATATTATAATTTTAAAACTAAAGTTTTCAAATACAACAGATGTATAAATAATATATACAATTCAGACATTAGATAAACATAAATATACTAGAATATTTATTGTTGAAAAAATATTTATACTTCAAAAGAATATATTAGAAAGAAAAATTTTCTATTATAATAAATAATACTCTAATTAAATTTAGATAATATCTTTACACTTATACAGTATTTAAACATAGTAATAAAAAAAATTAAATTAATCAATAAATCAATTAAAACTTTAATAGCTGAATTATACTTATGAAATTATAGGTAAAAATTCATGCTAATGTAAAAGATTATTTTAATAAACTTTTAGATATTTTAAAAATTATACTTTAAAGATTACGGTAAACTCTTGATATAACGAATTCTAGGATCTGGATATAACTTCATTATAAGTTTATAACGAATTTTTTAAAGACTTTAATTGGCTAGTTTACTATAGTAAAGTAATTTTAATATATTTGATTTAAAAATTCGCTATATCAAAGGATCGCTATATCAAGATTTAACTGTATACTTAAATAATTACAGAAAATCAATATAATATTACTATAGTTAATAATAAAAGATTTATAAATAATTATAATGAATATATATTACTTAGTTAATTAAAAATTTTATTAATATATTAAAATTATCTTACATAAAGCATCTACTAGTCATAATTGTTTCAAAGTTTTAAATGCAATTTTTTAAAAAATTAATTATTTATAAAATAATATGAATAGTCAAAAATTGCATTTAAAATCATTTTTTTTTATTTTAAATGAACTTACAAAGCAGATAAAAATACATTAAAAAAATATAATTTGAAAGTTATATAAAATTTATATCAAATTATATCAAAAAAATCAGTTTTTTCAATAATGTTATATTATCAATTTAGAAAATGATCAATAAGATGATTGCTGATAACAAAATTTTTTTAGAATATTCTTGGATGGTTTTATACCTTTAATTTATTTATGATAATATAATGATTTAATAGTAAATACCAATTACTTACTTATAACTAACCCATATCCCTTCAATGGTTTCCTTTCAAATTTAGAAGAAATTTTACTTACATTTTAAGTTAAATTTAAATATATTAAAATTTAGTTATTAAGCTAATAATATTATTATAATAAAATTTATGATGTTTTTTAAGTATAATCAAAAAAAAAATTATATTAATTAGTAACTTTTTACATTAATTTAAGTTCAAAAATTTAAAAATATTTTAATAAAAGTATTTTCTTTATAAAAGCTAAAATATTTAATTTTTTATTTATTTTTATAATATTAAAAAAACATTACAAAATATATAAATTTATATTTAAATATTATTTATTTATAAAAAAATCATAAATTTAAAGTTAAAAATTTTGTATATGTTTTAATTATTAAAAATAAAATTTTATTTAAAAATAATAGATTTATAATAAATTTTATAACATATTTTAACTAAAAATTAAAAAAATTTTATAATAATTGATTGAAAATCATGATTAATTTGAATAAAAATGATTACTATTTAAGGGATACAGTCAACTCTCTATAAATGCATCCTTTATAAATGTATATCCTTTATAAATGCATTCTTTGCTTGGTTCTAAGCTAAGACTTATATGCTAAATACACATTTTACATATATTTTACTCTGTAAATACACACGTTGACAAAACATTTTTATAAAAATTACTTATAAAATTTTTTGTATTACATTAATTTTATATTAATAAAATATAAATTTATATATATTTATAAATGCATATCCTCTCTAAATGTATATTTGTATCTGGTTTCAAGAGGATGTATTTATAGAGAGTTGACTGTATATTAATATTATATTACTATAAGATTAATTAATAAATTAAAAAAGTATTAAACTTATTATATAAAATTAAAATTAGAGAAATTAGCTTGATCATTATTTTAAATTAATATTTTAAAAATTATACTTTATTATTAGAAAAAAATCTATGTATATTATTATGATTTATAATTATATAGAACTATTGATACCAATTATAAATAATATATTACTTCTCATTTTTTTGCATTAATCAAAATAAAAAAATTACACATATGATAAATAATTAATCAATTATCTATCAATCAAATATAATTATCAATTAATCAAAAATCAATTTAAATTAATCTGTTTAATTTAATATTAATGCGAATTAAGCCAAATATCAACTCTAATTGATCTAATTAAATGATGTAAAAATTAGCAAATTTTAAAATTTATCGAAAGGAATAATAAAAATATTCCTAAGAGATAATATAATTGTCAAAAAGATGCAATAAAGATAATTATATAATAAATACAATTATTTCATTTGAAATATTAAAAATAATTGAATCTTAGGAATAATAAATTATTATCCTGAAAAGACAATATAATATTATTCAATAAGAATGATAAAAATCATCAAATAAAATGATTTAATATCATTTCTAATCAGATAATACAAATCATCAATTAGAATAATCAAAGAATCATTCTTTTGAAATAATAAATCATTATTTAATAAGAAAAATTTAAAAAATATTATCTTAAAAGAAGATAAATTATTATTCTTATTAAATAATTTAAAAATTATCACTTTAAAATAATAGATTATCATTCAATAAGAATAATCAAAAAAATTATTCTAAAGAGATGATATACTATTATTTGAAAAATAAAAGAAATAATTGAAATTGAATAATTTAATATTATTTCAATCAAATAATATAATTATTTAATTAAAATGATCAAATTACATCCCTTCAAAATAATAGATTATTATTCAATAAGAACTATAAAAAATCTTTTCTTTAGAATGATATATGATTGTTCTTATTGAATAATTAAAAATTGTTTTAGGGAATAATACATTATCATTTAATAAGAACAATTAAAAAATCATTTCAAAAAGATGATAATTAATTATCTAAAAAGAATAATTAAAAAATTATCACAAAAAAATGATATATTATCGTTCTTATTAAACAATTAAAAAATTATTTTTTTAGGATGATATATAATTGTTTTTAATAAAAACAATTAAAAAATTATTTCAAAAAGACAAAAAAAAAATAGATTATTATTTCAATAAAAACAATTAAAAAATTATTTTTAAAGTGATGATAGATTATCATTCTTATTAAATGATTAAAAAAATCATCCTAAAAGAATAATAAATATTATTCCCTTAAAATAATAATTACTTTATAAGAATAATACAAAATCATTTAATTAAAATGATAAAATCATTCCTTTGGAATGGTAATAGTTAAGCAATAATATATATTATCTAATATTATTTTATCATATGTATCTATTCTACCTAGCAAGATGAATATACTTATATCATCATATCGATCATTTTACTTGTATTATTACATCAGTTTTTGCAAATTTCTATGCTTTAGCTTTCTTTAAAAATATTCAAATTCATAATATTAACTATTATATTTAATAGTTTATATTACTAAGGGTTTGGTATAAAAGTTATATAATATTAGAATATGAAATACAAAAATTATTATTAAGCTAAAATTTTCAGTAATTTAATTAGCATAAATCATATTGATTCTTATATTAATTAGACTTTGAAGT